CGGTGCCTCCCAGCCCCTCCCCGCCTTGCTCCCACTCCCAGGGCACCTGCTCCAAGCCTGTCTCCTGAGAGCTTACTAACCACATGTCCCCAAACCCCGACTGGGACTGGCTGAGTCTCGTGGCTCTGGAGACTGGATGAGGAGGGGCAGGACAGGGGACAACGTGGCCTTTCCCTTCCCCACAGAGGCGATTCCCAAGCCACAGCACATCACCCAGCTCTGGCTACGCTGCTAGCCACAAAGTCAGGCGTTCTAAAGCACCAGCTGCTCTGCAGGAGAAAAATGAGACTCTAATCCCAGCAAGAGTTAGTGTGGGAAACACACAGGGCAGCTCCCCCTGTCCGGAAGGGTGGCCGCGAGTCGAATGAACTCCGTGGAAGGAGCCTGGGGTGAGTTGAGTCAGTGTGGGTGGACGACAGTGGGTTGGGCTGCCTGGTAGCAGGAGCCTCTGGAGCTTGATGGCGCTGTGGTTCAGGCTTTGGGCTCTAGCCACAAGATCAGCAGTTCCAATCCACCAGCTGCCCCTCAAGAGAACGCTGAGGCTGTCTGCTTCTGCTGTGAGAGTTGGTGCTCACTCAATGGCAGTGAGTTCCGGGTCTGCTTCCTCCGCTGTATTCTAAAAATCTCTATGCTCCCCCTACTCCTGCCCATTACCAAAAGATCACACGTGACAGGGGGAGCTTTCTGACCCTGAAAAGAGTTCCGTCTCAGAGACCCACACAGGCAGTTCCACCTTGTCCTGTAGGGGCGCTGTGAGGCAGAACCGACTCGGTGGCAGGGGGTTGAGTTTAATTCCGTCAAGAGGACCCAAGCCCACCCCAGTGAGTTCCTCTGTGTGGGTTGTGGGGAGGGCAAGCACACTTATATCTTCGATTTGGGGTGGGCTGGAGTGTGTGTGTGTGTGTGTGTGTGCTGTGCTTGTGCATGTGCATGTGCAGTAGATTTGGAGTTTGCTCCTGCCCCCACCCCATTACAAAAGTATCAAGTGATGCTGGGAGAAATTTAATTCCGTAAAAGTGAGGACAAACATGGCTTGGGCCAGAGGTACCATAGTCTTCAAAGTGACACCTTTGCTCTTTCTAAAGAGGTCTCGTGCAGCCGATGTGGCCAATGCCACGCAAGGTTTGCTTTCTTGAAAACTGCTTCCACGAACACTGGTTGCACATCCAAGCCAGCAGGAACCCTTGACAACTCGGTCAGTCGGTCCTTTGTCGGTCATGATGCTGTCTGTCGACCCCGCGGTGAGGAAGTTGGTGGGTGACAACATGGGGGGTCATTGAAAAGGAGGAAGGCCCTCTGGGAGGGGGGTCTACACCCTGGCTGCAACAATGGGCTCAAAAACAACAACCCTCGTGAGACCAATGAAAGAGCTTACTCATTTATGGTACTAGACAACAACAGAAGTTTAAAGGGAGCCAATCCTAGAAGCAGGGAAGGGACCTCATGGCTCAGGCTTGTCCTTTGATCCTGGGGTCCCCAGGCTGAGAACCTCCTGGACCCAGGAGACAGATAGTGAGCTGTTAGCACCAGAGATGGGGGAGAGGGTGGCAGCAGAACCAGGAGACTTGCTCAGGATGGCACAGTGGGCTTCTGGGCTCCAGAGCCAGAGGTTTGCTGAGTGCACTTGCAGGCCCTGGAAAGTTAGGCTCACCCACCCCTGCAGGACAGATCTGAGCGCCTTCAGGCAGGAGGCCTGGCAGTGGGGTGGGGTGCCTCCAGGCATTTGTCGGTGGAGCTAAAGGGTTTCTTGACACTTGCCTAAGCAGGGCAGAGGCCAAACTTCAGACCCAGGGGGCTCGTGGGAGGCCTACCTGTGGTCATGGCTGACATGTCATGATCAAAGAACTGTCTTGAGTCATTCCTAGTCATGTTACTGCTGAGTCTTGAACATCGTTGCCACAAACCCAGCAGAGAAGTAGAGAGAACAGTGGGAGGGAGGGCTGGTGTCAGAATGGGCCAGAAGGTTGGCTAGTCTGTGTGGTCACCGCTTCCCACCGGTTGGTTTTGGGCTGATGGTGCTCCTCAGTCTCTGCCGTCCCCTGTGCAGTAGATGAGGGGTGTTGGTGCTGCTCATACCACATCCCTACCTAGGCAGCTGTCAGGGTGGACACCCACAAGCAGCTGGCTCACTTCTGGAAGCTCACACAGACCCCTGGTGGGCTGGAAGAGGGCCATAGCAGGCTTCGTGGGCCTCTGCCCTGCTGGGAATGGATGACTTTCAAGTTTGTGCCAGGCAGGAAAATGCCAGAGGCTGTTGGCAGCGCAGGTAGGCCCAAGAGGTCGTGTGCCTGTTTTCATGTGGAAGAACCTACGCTGAACACAGGTGCCCAGGGTCCCTGCAAGGGATGGGCTGAGCACGGGGGAGGGGGCTGGCAGGAACAGGGTGGGAGGAGAGGAGGGAGGTCCACTTGAAGCCCCTGTAAGGGAGGTGGCAGGGAGCTGAGAGTGTGAGAAGAGCCAAGCAGTGGGACACATTTAGCTGAGGCTGGGGTCAGGGGGCCACCATGGGTCACTCTGTTCTCTGTGGTGGGCGCAGGCCTGGTGGATGTAGTGGCCAGCAGTGGATAGGCTGGCTTTGGCAGGTGGGGCCAGTGGAGAAAAGGCTTGGGGCAAGAGGAGTTGTTGGCTTGGGAGGGAAGGAAGGAGGAAGGGAGAGCTGCGGGCTCCAGGCTGGTGGGTGTAAGGAGAGGTGGGTGACCCTGGGGACAGCGTGGGAGGAAGTCCCAGAGCACTGTGGTCTGCAAGGAGTCACAGGAGAGGCTGCAGGTCCCTTTAGGTAAGGATACCAGGGTAGCAGTCCCAAGGCCAGGCAGGAGAGAAGGAGGCCTGCCCAGTTGCTGGGCTCCGGTGGTCCACGTGCGAGCTCAGCGGTGTGTGTTAATGGCACAGTGACAGGCTCTTTGCAGGTAAGTGGAAGGTAATCCCAGTCAACTACAGGGGCCCAGGGAGGGGCAGGGCTGTAATCCAGGGCCAGGGCGCAGGGCCTGGAGGGTTCTGGCGGGTTTCTTAGGGGGTTCTGCTCTCTCCCCCTACCGCTTCCCTGATCGCGGCAAGCAGCGGACAGGCCCAACTGAGCCTGGGGTGGGGTCACCACTAGGCATGCTTTGGGGGATACGCCCTGGGCCAGGGGTGTGTGTGTGCAGCTTCCCCTGACTGTGTGCACCCATTGGGGCTCCAGGTGCCGCCCCACAAGGACAGGGCTGGGGCACTCTCCCTCGCTTGCCGGGTGGCCTACTACGAGGCGATGCACAGGTCCCCTCGGCTGCTCCCCAGTTTGGGAGCCTCCTGCAAACCGTTAGGAAGACAGAGCCTGGAGACCGCGAGCGCCAGTCAGCAAGCCACTCGCTGACCCAACCCCGCCCGAGCAGCTGACCCGCCCGAGCCACCGTCCCGGCCACCCGCTCATGGGGCGGGACGTCGTTCTCAAGGCCCGCCCCCGTACCTACTGGACCAATGGGAGCGTGTTATTCAGGACCCCGCCCACTAGGGGCGTGACTCGGACGCGCAGGCGCGCGGCGCGGCCGGGCGGGCCGGCTGGCTGGGAAGATGGCGGCGGGAGCCTTGGCCGTCGCTGCCGCTGTTGCCGCCCAGCGGATCCGGGGTGTCCGGGGAGTCCGGGCCGGGGTTGGGGCCGGGCCATGAGCGCGCCGCCCTCGCGTCTCCGAGCCGCGGAGTCCGCCCGCGCCCCTCGCCATGGCCCGGCTCGCGGACTACTTCGTTCTGGTGGCGTTCGGGCCGC